TTAAAAAAGAATTCAGATTAATTTAATTCAAGGTTATAAAGTTACAGGTCCTGTGACAAAACTTTTTGAACCCCCCATGTATATAATTAATGAAATAAAGAAAAGTGGTTGAATATAAATGATTCATGTATAATGAAAAAAAATAACAATAAAAAATATAATACTTAATGGATGGGACCCTTGTGATTCTAATAGACAAAGAAAGGATCTAGTGAATAGTCAGGGTAACATAATTACTAATCATGTATTTTTTCCTTCAGGTTTAATGAATGAATAAACCAATAGCAGGAGGATCACGATTATACATGAAGTCAAAACAATTTAATTTTGGGGGTCGAAATGGTCATATCAAATGATTTATTGTAATAAAAATTATTTATCTTTGAGAAACATGGCTCATTAGAATATTCTATTCGAATAATGATAATTTAATGTCCATAGCATCAATAAATGGCAAGTTATTGTAATATTATGATAAACCAAAATAACTCAATAATCAGTGATTCAAATTACATTTCATTAGACTCACCTCATTGAGAGAATTCTAATGGTAGTTATTTTATTCAAAATAGCCAGATATTGACCAAGTTATGATGATTTGAAGTTTTTGATTGATTTTCTGTATGTTCAGCTTGTTGTATGATGTAATTTCGACCATTTTGACTTTTGATTCAACTTTAATCTCTCAGGTCGAAATATTTCAACTTTTGAGTTTCAATTTTGACTTCATGTATAGTCATGATTACAATTGGTATTCAATAGTGCTGAACCAGAATCTTTCCAAAAGATGCAGGTGATGCAGTATTAAAAAACAATATTGTATATGTTTATATACAGTATATATATATATATTAATAAAATATTGTGTGCCCTTTTGGACTATAGAGTTTTATAATTCATCAGTTATATGACAATGTTAAGCTAAATGTCAAGCTAACTTAGCCTGAAACCAGCAATGTTAACTCTTGCATAGCAAGCTTCTACTGAAATTCTAGTACAGTCATTTCAGTGCAAGTGGGATGATTATCTACCTAGATATTTATTTTTGCTTACACGTGACATCTTTTACTTTTTGGAATAAAGTGTCAATCTGCATAAATATTAGGATCAAAAATATATGCAGTGAAAATCTGTTATTTTTTATTTTGTGATAGTATAAAATAACTAAGTTAATGTCTACTATTATTTGCTAAATTATTATGTAATTGACTCATTTAAATAACCCTTTGGGAATCTTTAATACATGGTGGACTGTTTTTTCCTTGGATCGAAATATAGATCAATCAATATCACCCATTATTTCTTCTTGATTTGTAACTTCATTCTACAAAAAAAAGTTATGCCAAATGAGTATTTTGAGAAAATAAATAAATCATCAGACACACATACATGAAATATTGCCATCATTCTGAGGATAGATTTGTATTGATTACGACCCTACACAAAGTTTAGATACTTAAAATGTGCTTAAAATGTGCACCATATACTTAAAATATACTTAAAATCTACTTAACATACTTTTGATGCAAACTAGCATACTTGAAATACACTTGAAATGCACTTAAAAGGTTACTTAAAACATACTTAATTTTGTTCATTATTAAAAAAGGTATGTTTTAAGCACATTTTAAGCACCTTTAAGTAGATTTTAAGCATGTTTTAAATACATTTTAAGCATCTAAACTTTTTGTAGGGCGACCATGAAAACTAAATGGAATTGTTGCAGCGGCAAATTCTGTTGAAAGAAATTTTCCATTTGGAAGCATATTCAATGCATAAAGAGTCATTCATGTACCTGAAGAAACAGAAAACATAAGTATTAAAAAAATATATTACACTAACCATATATATTGCTTACCAATCACTTGAGTACAGAACACTTTGATTGTTGTAGCAAGTTTTATATCACAATCAAAATGGTTTTGTAAAATTGCAATCAAATTTAAAATGTCTGTTCTCATAGTTTTTTTCATGTCTGCCAAAATATGTATGCCAATTATATTGCATGGACCACCAGCCACCTCCATATGCCATATTTCAAGCCCATCTGAATGCCGAATTGCTTTAGAATCTACTTTTTACTGTACCTGAATCTGTATCAGATTTCTTCATTTTGGCAGATTGGGCATGACTTTCAATTCAGTCAAATTCAAGGGTAAAAAATGTCATTTCATAGAACTTAAATATAGATGATATTTGATACATTATGTATTTACATTCACCAATGTTTCTGTTCATTGTAAGGTTGACATCTACAAGGTAATAACTAAAAGGGCAATTGTTAATATTTTGATCAATAAATGCCAGATATTACATTTACCTACAAGTCAAGAAGAACTTTCTTGCAGTACAGTTGGAAAAGTTTATCTGGAACTTTATTTTGGACTGCTGTTTTAAAATTGTATCCAGATTCTTTGAGGACAGTATCAATATACACCTCCAAACCAGGTGTCCAAATAGCAGGATTGATATCATGTATGGAGGACAGTTCCTTAGTGAGCTCCTTGCCAATTTCTAATGTCAGCTCCAAGATCGTTTTTCCATATGCACATATTAAGGAGATATCTTGGGAATATCTGGAAGAAAATGTGAGGCAGACTCTATCAGAATGCTTTCCATTTGATGAATGATACATAGCAAGTATGAGATAAAAACTTACTGTTGAACTTCATCCTTCATTATTGCTCACTTGTTAGGTGTTGACATTAGTTCTGTTAAATGTTGGGAAACTTGTGGTGAGATTTTAGGTGAAGATTCTGCTAACTGTGAATAAGCAGTACTACTTATACATGAAGTTGAAACTATTTTGACCATTTGCAGATCTGGTCAAAATAGGGTTGAAATAAGGTCGAAACTGATTTTTACTATGTGGTTGCCTCAAGTTGAAACATTTCGACTTTGGGGTTTAATTTTGACTTCATGTATAGTACTTCTTATTTCATTTTCTTTTCATGCAAACTTCATATAATGACTTTCATTGATTTGAGTTGCATTACTGGTTGCCATATTTTTGACTTTTTTACCAAATTGTTAAAATACTATTTAGTAAATTTTTTTGTCTTGTAAAAATTTCAGAATAGAACCTACATGTATATTTTCGATTGTTTTAGAACATTTCAAATTATCCCCTGGTGTAATTGACCAATCCTTAAAAAGTAAAATGCTGAATTAATATTTATAAAATTATTATCATACCTATTATTCATGTAACCAAGTCAAACTAAGAGCTATCCTTCAGACTAAGAGTCCCAGCTTGTGCTAAGCATCGAACTAAGAGTTCATAACTAGTGTCCAAGAGACCCAGCTTGCACTAAGCATTGAACTAAGAGTTCATAACTGTTGGACTAAGCTCTTAGTGACCATTCAAATTTCTACTACAGAAATTCATTTCTGCTTTTTATTTTAAAATACATTTTTACTTTTACCTTCCATTGATTAATGATTTCTTGTGCTTTGTTTCTGCATGCATCATCATAATTAGAAGAAACCACCAACTTCTGAATATCTTTTTTTATGCTATCTAAAGCTTTCTTTTGATTACTTTTCATCTTCATTTTATAATGTTTGATTAATTTGTTACATGTCCAATCTTCAATTGTGTTTGTGCTGTAAAATCCATTATTGTTATGATAAACAATTTAGTTGTCACACAATTAGTTATTCCTATTATTATCATTATTATTATGGTCATGTGTAAATGTCATACAACATACTGATTATCTGATGATCTGATTGATTATGCAGATCCTTTATATCAATCAGAAAAAATAAACAGAAGATATGATCAGAGAGTACATTGGAGGTGAGTATTCTTGAAAAAGTTGATTGCAGAAAATCATGGCCATGGATTAAATGAGAGACTTGAAGTGCATACAACAAAAGATAATGGAGCCTCTTTCATTTATGGCAATGTGATAATATCCAAAGAGGATGGGACATTGACAAGACCAGTATCAAAAAAATTAGATGTATTCTCAAAGAGACAGATATCAGTATGGATAGTTGCATATAATCATACATAGTATGTTACTATTTTACTATTTTACTACACAAAAATCAAAATATCTATGATGAAGTGTGAGTTTGAACTCATGGGCGCAGTAATGTTGATATAAATTCATATCAGATTTATTAATATATATTAAGAATAACAGTCAATCTTTTGTCTCATTGGAATTCTACAAAGTAAACTAAGATGTTGGGCTGTTGGATTTTGACTACCATGAACTCTAGAAGCATGTTTGCTCCCTATTTTTCTCAATCTTTTGGCAGTAATACCATATGCCTTTAAAAATTTGCTAATGCTCCAATATTGCATTTTCCATTATCACCATATACAGGATCATGTAACTTTTTGGTTGCTATAGCATCTTGAATCCAAGTAAGCAATTCTCTTGCACATTCTGGATTCTTTTCCATGGAAAGGAATTGTAAAGGCTCAGGATTAACCTTCTCTTCTCCCTTATTCTTAACATATCCCATACAATACCAATAATGACCAGGTTTGTACCATTCTGGAGGGTCTGATGAGTCAATGACTTGAAGCTTGGCTTCTTCACAATGGATAATACAAAGAGTAGTAACTTCAGCAGGTCTCATGCTCAACATCATAATCACATTGGAGAGATCCTGCATAGTTGGAATTTTAGTAGTATTGATATTTTGGATTCTTCTAAGTCCCACATCTAAGGAGAAGTGTTTAGGGGTTTTGGGTGAATTGGGTAATCACTGTACAAGTTCCTTCTTCTGAATTTCATTAGATGCTTGAGTAAGATCTGAAAATTTAGCATATTTAACAATTACCTTAAAATCAGCTCCAGCTTCTTTCAATTCCTTACAAAATAATGTAAGGCATGAGCTATCCCTTAAATGAAATTTTGTTCAAATTTGAACAAAATTTACAATTTTAACTATAAATGAGAAAAAAAAAGGTAATTTCAACAATTTCAGCCACACCTTTCCTAATTAAAAAATGATTTCCAAAACATATACTTCTATTAAAAAAAATTTATTTGGGGTT